TCCGAACAGATTTGGCGCTCTCGCACCGATAATCAAGGCTCCTTCGTTGTTCCCAACCATCGTGCTAATACCGCCGACCAAACGCCTCATTTCACGTACCATAAAAGTGACCTAGTGGCAAATATACAACCTATTGAACATTACAATTAAATATACATTCTCACATGTGATATACAATAACAAATTGCATTTAATAAAATATGTTTATGATAACAAAATGCGGTAACAAAATACATTTAAAGCTGAAAAATTACTTAGTGTTTGTTGAATTAATGTGTAATTATATAGACCCACTTCTACACCATCAGGGGTGGCTTCAGGACCTTGACTGGTGTCAATGTAAACTCCGATATTTTTAAAGCATCCCAAAGCATCTAATTTCTCTCGTACTTTATAAGCACGTACAATAACATCCTCGAAATTTTTAGCTTTAAACAAGTCCATCACTTGTGGTTTGATTATATCGTCTTTCGTTCGCATAAGTCCGTCCACATGTATTTTGTCGACTCGTGCCTGCCATAATAAAAAGCAATTTTGGAAATTCTAGAATTAAAAATTTGATAACTGTGTTTAGATAATTTACATACTTTAACTGTCTGTAAAACAATACGTTTTGTTTGTACATTTTCTTCTTCCTTATGTATCCGAGATTTATTATTGAGAAATGTTGGCTGTAAGAAAAAAAAAAGATAGAATTTTAACATAATTTTTTATCTAATAATGTAAAAGTTAAAAATATTTAAATAGAATATTATGAAAATATATTAAATTGTAATATAATATAAACTACAAACATACAAAGTCACCCATTGATGATCCATTGTGTTTATTTATATTATCCTTAGATGACTGATTTAAGCCTGAAGGATTACTGAAGGGTTCCTGAAAAGAAATATCCGCTCGTTAAACCACATTCGTACACACATATATATTTCTTAACAGAATTAGAAACATACGAGTTACGTAAAATTTGCTACGATATTAATTGTTATTCTCGAAAATTCGGATGAAAATTAAAGTTATCTATCAGTATATTATTAGAGATCTATCAGTATATTATTAGAGATTACTCATTTCCAAGAATCATACGAGGTTTTTAGGTTATGCCGCAACTTCTAATAATAAATATGTGCATATACCTTAGCATGGACAATACCCATTTTATTTTATCGATGAACTTTTCTTTCAATTGCCGCATTAAAATTTCATACCAAAATCGATATTGTGACGTTTTCGCGATGATAAAATGTAAGGGAAAATTTATACAATTTAAATGTTAAATACAAAAAGAATATATCGAACACACAATACATACACAAATCGTACGGCATGACCAGTGCCATCACCGGTGCGAATGCAGTACTATGTTAAAATGCGCGGCATGTGATAACTTTACCTGTTACGTGTCAAGGTATCACTTTTTGAAAAAAAAACCGCGAATAACGTCTCGTAGAAATTGCTAGTATTGCAAAACTATGCGATACAAAGAAATAATTATGAAAATTAAGTTGTTAATATGCACATATTCATTTTGCATAACCTGGTTTCGGAGTAGCAGAAGAGGATAGAGAGCATATTTGGATGCAAGATGCGAAAACTGTAAGGCGCTGTCTATTATTTTTGTCTATATAATGAAAATGATACGCATGAAAATTAATGTCTATATTGAAAAATATATATATTTTGTTGCAGTATGCTCAACAAGGGGCATTAGAATGTGCGAAAGTTATCTATGCGTACGTATTAAGGACATTACCTAATAGTAAATCAATTTGGCTGCACGCGGCTTATTTCGAAAAGACATAAGGGACGCAAAAGATACAGATTATTTTGAGCACTGAGTACAGATCAGATTTTAGTAAAGGTAGCAGAAAAGTTATCTACTATATAAAATAAAAATTACTTTTGACAAATTAAAATCGCATTGTCACCGCGCGAAGTTTCCAATATAAATTTGGAGTTTGGCCGTCACTCCTGCCGACCCTTAATGATTGTCAATGATCCGAAACTAGTTCTCGTCTCAATCGCCGTCTCATATATATTTCAAATGAAACAAGTGCGTGCTCACGCTTTATAAGAGAACAAAGAATTGAAACACTCGATAAAATTACGCATAACAAAAAAAATATGTAGCTAAAAAAATCGATATTTCTAAGAATCAGTGTGATGTAAAATTCAATCAAAATAAAAATTAGTTAATGTATAGTAACTTTTTATTATTCTTCTTTCTTTTGTTTAAAATATTTACATGTAAATTGAGAGAATATATAAATTTAAAATATATATTTTTACAGTATAACAATAAAAGAGATGTTGTGGAAGATCATTCATCTCATATAAAATATTCTAGAAGAGAATCTTAATATAAATCTGCAAATATCATAGTAATGATCTATATAATTAGTTAAATAAATATAAAAGATTCTTCTCAAAATACAATTTATATCAGTTTATATAATCTTTATCAGAAAAGTCCGCGTTTCTTTGTCACACAAAAATATATGTATATGCATGAGTGTATGTGTACATACACACACAAATATACATAAATTTACAACACAATCTTTTGCACAATCCAGTTACTAAATATATTTATATTTCCGATATGTATATATAGGATGTCTTTTAACATCATGTTCAATTCATTAGATACGAGACATCCTATACAACTATCTTATTAAAGAGGACACACCCTTCTCTCGTTATATGTATATGTATAACACATTCAAAATTCTTTTTGTGATATACAAGAATAACTGAGAATATTAGAATACAGATTCCAGAAAAGTTACTAATAATTATAATTGATATTAAAAATTTTAAACTTTAGCAATAACAGTAATAGATATATCATTATCATATTGCACTATAATATCGCTTCAAAATAATAGTTGCAATAAATGTATATCACAATTCTCTCTCTAATAATTCAATCTTAATTTTCTAATAAAGTTTATAAAATTTGTAGAGACTCTTATTTCCGCCATGAAAAATATAGCATATGCATCTTACATATAGCATCTATTATAATTAGAAAGAGGAAAGAAAGAGCTAAAATTAGGCTGAGTTCAGGGAGCATGCTTACGCCCTAAAAGTATCGTTTATCTTTGTTACTTACCGAAAGTTGAATAAGGACAGAGGATTGTTGTAGCGCTAAAAGCATGCTCCCCGAACCCAGCCTTAGAATTGCGGCTTCCATTAAAATATACTTTCAAAAATAATATCTTCTTCCGTCAAATTTCACGAATTATCTCACGACTAGCGAAAATCACGATATTTTTAGATTCTTGATGCAAAAAATTTATCGTTTTTGCACTAAGTGTTTTACTTTTATATAAAATTATTCATACAAAGTTTTATATAAACAAACAAAAAATTCATTATATTCTCTCTTGCCTAAAATTTTAAAAAGTGTATCAAATATGGTGACTATGTATCATAATAGTGACTATTTTATTTAATAACAATTATTTATATAGAAGCAAAGAGAGAGAAAGAGAGAGAGAGTAAAATACATGTCTAATCGTTAATATTTTGACAAAAACAACATACTTTTTGCACTAATCTAATAGTTTTCAGAAAATTACATTACACCCGCATAGATTCGCATCAATTTGACGAATTTTCTTGCTCAGACTGCAGCAGGGCTAATACGCGGAGTTGTATTAACCGGGGAGAGAGGACACCCATGGACCTCTAAATCGAGTTCGGAAGTCGAGAGACAATCTCTCATAACCCTATTCCATCTGTCGGTACTTTCGTTGGCGACTACATAAGTTTGCGTGATCCTTGGCTCTACAACATCAGTCTCGGGCCTCTCCAGAGCACGTAATGCTTCTTGATGTATGATAATCTCATTGGTGATGTACGCTTCGCGACGTATCTTGTCCCGTAATTTTGGGCTTATATCAGGAATACACCATCGTACTAAGTTCATCACGAATGCCACGACATTCTGCGAAATATACACAAAATAATATATTATGATAATGATTAATAATTATTAGTAGTAACTGTATATAAAATAGCCCAATAAATGTGCGACACACACTATCTTCTTCATTTACTGATTGAAAGAAGATAGATCGATGTGAAAAGCAAATAATCTAAACATTAGCATATATTTGAATAAAAAAACATACCTCAAAAACGACGATAAAAGCTAATCTAGCCGCTAGTATATGCCAAAACATGATGGTGTAATCATACTTGTTTGGCGAGTCTGGTGATTCTCTGTAATCTTGATAACGGCAAATCTCGATTGGGGCTTGACCTAATGACGCCATAGGTTGAGTGCCACTTTTCAGATCGCTAGTATTAAATTTTGACAGAGAATGCTCTAGGAAACCTTCTAATGAATAATTATCAGAAATTGTTATACGATAAACTAGCCTTGGTATAAAATTTGAAGTAAAAGCTATGATGAATGCCTGAAAAAATAGAAGTGATAGTATGCTATTTAAAAAAATAGTTGACATAATTATTAAATCATAAACTTCATGTTTAATACAATTATTAAATTCCATATTTCTATTTCCTTGCATAAAAAATTAAACTTACATTAGTAATAACGGATAATTTGGAAATGGAATCAAGAATGCGGTACCATATGCCTATATCTCTCACGCGCTGTCCGACCGGTCTTCTATACATGGTCAATAACTTTTTCGCATCCAATCTCATCTCAAAAACATTATTCAATAATGCAAAGAATGGCGCCAAGGGAAATGCAGCGACAAAAATTGTAACAAATCCATATTGTAGCACTGTAAAAAAAAATTTTAGTTACATATATATATATATGTGTGTGTAATAAAAAATCCATTACTTTCATTATTTATTATTGTGTTAGTATAATATATATTGCTTCGTGTATTTTACCCATTTCTAAATATTCGGGAAAAAGACTTCTCGGTCCCCATTCAACTAATTTATAATCTCTGATCCACTGCAAATATTTTCTACACGAGTATCTCATATTGTGATCTTTCAATTTTTTTGCACCTACATGGACTTTTAAAGTATTCATCCATTTATAAAATAGTGGAAAGAGCATTTCTAAGATAGTATTCATAGCTTGCTTGCCAATCATGATAATACTCAATTGAATGCATAATTCCAAAAGGCAACCACCTGGTCCGCACTCTTCTTGTCGAAAGTTAAAGAAACGATTATAATTTCCTGGATAGCCAATAAATTTTCCTTTAAAGAAGGCTATATAAAATATGGAAGCATAATAATTGACAAATTCCAATAAATAAATTTTTAGGGTTAAGCTGTCATCAAATTCAGACTGAGTACGAAGCAGTTCAAGCTGAAAACAATAATAAAATGTATGGAATTTTTATTTGTTAAAAAAACAATAAAATGTCTTTATTTTCAAGATAGATTCTAGTCACATTTTTTTTCTATTTGTCAGTAAGATTTTAATTAAAACTATAATCCATCATTCTTTTGAAAATTATTAATCAGTATATAGAATGAAAATAATTTTATTTTTATTAAGATTATTTTTTCAATAAGTGATATATTAATAAGTGAATAAAATATAGTATAGAGAATATTTCAGTATTATTAATTTTACATATAAATAGATTTTCATTCAATATTACCTCTGTCAAATATTCTGCCAGCCAAACATATAGCCAATTGAACAAAATGATACAACAGAGATTAATGCTTGCAGCAGTAGCAGTAGTAAATAATATAGCATAACTGGTTACCATAGGATGCCCATAAACACTTAATGCAGTTAAAACAGACATTCTGTACAGGACTACTCCAAGCACAGCAGCCATAGCTACAGCTATCTGTAAAATTATAATATATACATAGCAAAAAAGTTACTTTTTTTATTCCTTTTCATATACACAATAAAAACAATTCGACATACCAAAAGTAGAACAACTGAGAAACTAAGAATTGTGGCAGGAAATCTCATCTTCCAATATGGTACTTTTGGCTCTTCCGTATTTGTAATAATATTAATAGATTTTTTTTTAATATGTGCAAGTCGTGCTAAGTATTGTGGCCTAGGATATTCTTCTTGAGCATCTAAACCAGTCAAATCCCATCTATGGGTTATTTCGGCAGAGTATTTCTTCCATAATTCAAGGAACAATGTAGCTATAAAAATGACAATGCTATATCATATAAAGTTATGAAATATTATATAAGGTATAACATAGCCATATAATTATTTAGCAATTATTTATTAGCAAATTATCAATAATTTTAGCGTACCCCACAATGACATAAATATAGAAAAAAACACAGTTGAGGGATTGTCAAACAAATAAGTAATTCTCGCATGTAAACATGTCTCCTTGAGATCCCAATAGCCACAAAAATGATCACATAATGGACACATTTCGATAGAACCGTTGCGATTACAAATATCTTCACTTGGTTCATTGTAATATAAAGTAGAACAACTGTATATGAAACATAAAAGACCAACGATACTAGCTGGAATCAGCATATGAGTGTAGAATCCCAGCCAAGCAAAGTAAAGTCCAATCTTCACACCAAAATACTCTTTAATATAATCTAAGGGCTGATAATGGAGGCATTTTCTCAAACTGGCCCATTCAGTGTACAAAAGATAGCGCATTGAGTCTGCAGTGTGTAGATTTCCCTGTGAAAAAAGATAATATATTTAAAATATATGAAGTGTGAGACGCATCTTATATTTCCACATATAAAATAACTTTTTTTTTAGTTACAAATAAAGATAAAAAATTTTAAAAATATAACTTACATCATGAAGCGGGTACGCCGCGACGTATGCATGCTCAGATATCAATCTTTCAATACCAAATGCAAAATCGTCTTCCTTGGTTTCTGTGAATCTAGTTCTATCCAATATAAACTGTACAATACGCGACCGAGTTGCCGATGTGAAAAAATTAGGCGAATTCAGATCGAATAAGTATTCTTTATCTCTACTATACACAGCTGTAAGGTTTTGCTTCATTGTCGGAAAAATGGTTGTGTCAACATAATATTTGCTCATAATTCGTCGAATAAACGTATTGACTTCTTGGATAATAAGATTGTTGCTTGTTTGATGTATTTGGCAGCCAGGCAATTGTTTCATAGGCAATCTCAATTTCAATATTTCGGCATATCGTCGTAGAACTTCCTTAGGTGCATGAATTTTTATAAAATGCAAGCCATTTGTTTCCACCTGTTCATACTCCAGTTCCAGTCCTTCTTTTTCGAGATTTATTTCAAATATCTGAAAATATGATATAAGTTTTCACAAATCATAAAATTGGCATACATTTTATACAAGGAATAGTTTGAATTTACCCTTCTGCGTTCAACATTACGGTAGGTTTGCGCTTCTCCATTAAACTCATCCCACACAAGTATAAAGTCAATTGAGCGAATTTCATCACGAAAATATAAACTATATTTTGTACCAGAATGAGAAAGCTGAAATATAAAGATTACTATATTAATATTTCTTAAAAAATATGTAGCAGTCAAACTTAACAAAGTGCAACAATCTATCAATCTCCTACAATTACAGAAATAATTGTAAGCAATTTAATAGTATTTGTTAAATTAAATATTGCTATAAACAATTTGCAATTATACTTCTAATAATAATCAATAAGTAATAAATGAAAGACAACATCTTATATGTATCGATTGTAAAATGTAAGAGAATTGATTCTTACCAATCTTGAGTCATGTATAGTATTTCTTGTATCTGTACAGCTATTGTTTATAACTGTGTCGTTTGTATCATTATTTATAGTGGACGAATCATCTGAAGGATGAAGATTATCCAGAGAGACAGCACTATGCATACTGTTTACACTTATTGCGTCTTCATACAGAGTATTACGAACACTTTGATACAACGTTTGTTCCGAGCCTTGATTTAAGCCGTTTTGCAATGATTGATATATACTTAATCCAGGAATACTGCTTGTTCGCCGTTGTGTGCATGTAAGAGAAACCTCTTCATCATCCTCTTCCATTTTTCAATGAGAGTTCATAGAGTTTCAAACCCTTTTTTAAACCAAATAACATGTACATCATGCAAACCCAAAAAAATATAGCTTACAAAGTATTACATAATCAAAAAGCATGGCAAGACATTTTTTTATATATATATATCTAGTTTCTTTCATATATCAAAGTTAAAATATTTCAAAATTATAGCTTGACACCTGCAACAGGTGAAAATTTGTAATCGAGAAGCTTCCATATTTTCATAGTTTTATACAGCACAATTTTCATTTTTTAATTTTTTATATAGATTTATATGATGTGATGCGAAAGTAAGCTCATAAATTATAAATAAATCATAGAATACACATGCTTTTCTTTCTGCTAGTCAAGAGCTAACCAAAACGCAACATGCTTTAAAAATTATACTTACGAAAAAAACAATCACACAAGCCTGCTAATTGCTAATAGCCCATTGTTCAAATAAATTGCGCTGTTTTTTTTTTATTAATAATGTTATTATAGAGATAGTATCGTAGTCTTACCTGATACTGTCCTTGCAACCATTTATCGAATGATTCTGGCACCTTTATTCTTGAAAGACTATCTCGATCGTTCTTCTTTTTCGAATTATTCTTATTAAATATGTGACACAATTATATCATTATAATAAAAATAAAAAAAATGGATTTTATAATAATAGTTCTTGCTACGTGACACGTACTTTGAACCACACATTAACATGCCGCGTCATATTCCGAATAATAGCTATATGTTACAATTTCCTTTTAGAGGTTTGCTAGGATTTAAGATCCAGGAGCGAAAATGCACGGACAAATATGTCACGAATTTATTTTAATTTTATTCAATTTTGAATAAAATATAAATCATTTTCTGTTTTTTAATATATAATTTACAAAATGTATTATCTAAAAAATTTAATATTACTATAAACAACTCCAATTATGACTAATTAACAAGTAATTTATACATCCTGCACATATATACAATCACATTGAAAATATGACGACTCTGATTTCTGATCGGAAGTAAGTTTCCGTGGAGATACTTGTTATCAGAGGACGATAATATTCTATTTAAATCGCGCTTATTCTCTATTTTGTTTTATTTATTTAATTTCATTTTGTAAAAAAATTAAGTTTATTTAAAATTCATATATAAAGTGTTTTACTTTTATTAATTTTTACCACTTCAGTAAATCATATATTTTATTTCTCTTATACATAACAATTTTTACAAATTTAATAAAAAATATATTATTAAATTTTATTAGAAAAACAATAACTCCTCCAGTTTTGTGTGCAAGAAAATTACAGTACATTCTATTTCCCAACTGTGCCTGTTACTTTATACATATATTTTTTAATATCAATATATATAATAAACTAATTATTGGTAATATTTATAGTTTACATAAATAAATATTGTTTTAATAATTTTAATAATTTTTCCACTAAGAAAGAAAAAAATAATTTTTAAATCATTTTATCCTTTTTTAATAGAAAATGAGTTATTTGTGACATCATACTTCTTGCATAATTAATGTATTGAGTTCTTCCTCTGCTGGATTCAACATTGCATCGATATTATAAAAGGCAGCATGCAACGTTATCAAAAACCAAGAGACTCCTGAAAAAAAAGTTGCATATATATATATATATAATATAATATATGTATGTATGTATGTATGTATGCATGTGTATGTTACTGTTTTTTATTCTGTATAAGTAAAATTATATTTTCAAGATATCTTACTTACCAAGTACCCAAAATACAGCTGCATGTGCACCAACCAGAAAAAATACAGGCAGTGAACAAACTGCAACTATAGAATATGCTTGTGCTAGCGTCAGTTTATGATTTAATATTGTTAATTCTTGTTTTGAATGCCGCTGAGAAAGTTTATAACATATCCCAAGAGAGGCAGCAACTGTCATCAATAACAGAGGTGAGGTGATTCTAAAATACATTTAATCATATAGTGATATCTTAAGGGACATCCATAAACAATTAATAGTTATATACTTATATACATCTTATATATTAAAAAATATTAATATAAAATATAATGAAAATATCTCTTACAAACAATATATGACTAATCCAATAAACACAAATAGATAATTGCTCTGGAAATATTCAATATTCTTTACAACTCGTTTACTCAATCTCGTTATATTAGGTGGTGGCCTAATATTGTTTGTATTAAGAAATAATGACCATGGTCGAATATTGGCTTTTCTATGTTCAATCCAGTCGTGAGCTTGAGGATAACCTATTTGATTAAGTGGTAGTTGAGGTAATTGAAGAAATTCAAATCTGTAAAATAATACAAACGGAGAAATTGATTACAGAGCATAACATAATAAATCAGATCAAACAGCAAAGGATTCTTTCTACTTGATTTTATATATATATATATGTTTTGTCTTTAGCTACTTTAACATTAAAATCGTAACATATACTTGTAATACACATTATTCCACGTTAATTAATAAGCAAATAAATAAACAACAATGCTCTATGTTTTGACGTGCTATGCCAATGGATACTATGACATTTGCTTACAGATTAGCTAAATCATATCAAATCTCGAAAAAAGTTGTGTATTGAATTGAAACGTTACCCATTCGTAACCTTATGCTTTTCTGACGAAACCTGCATATCTCCCATCGGAATCTCTACATGCGCCATGATTTCCTATGAAAAACACAGACGATTACTCGTTCCAAACCACTGCGTTTACAGCTGTCTTCTACTTCCTTATTCTAGCACGCGATTTTTTCCCTTTATTTACACTCTCTGCGTCTTATATTTTCTCTTTTCCACCGGGAAATGTGGATATGTATTTTGTTTTAAATACAAAAAATATAAAAAGATGCAGCTGGTAGAACGAGCATATTTGACATTTAGCTAGATCGATACTGTCAAACTTTATTTGTCATTATTTGTTATCCATTTTCGGGTCAAATTATATTCATTTACTAGAAGAATCGCTTCATTTATGCAAGTTTGACCAAAACTCACCGAAACTCGTAATATCCAACATCAAACAGAATTTCTTCAAAATTTATCTGTGAATCTCACTAAAGACAGATCATTACTCTGTACTCTGTGACATTCGATGCAGAATTACCGACCGAAACCTCGTAACCCTCGATACCTGCCGTTGATAATTTATTGCGGGCGTCAAGTTATCGATGGTAGATATTGAGATGCGTCAATTGCAACTTCTCGACTCTCTTCGATGATTTTATATCGATGATCTTCCTTCCATGTTGCTGATAACGGATAAAACTGGAATTACAAGGAAATTACAAGGACGCGATATCTGCGTAAAACGTAGATGACTTATAACAGAAATATCGTATTATCCTTGATCGAAATCGTTGCATCCACCTGTCAGATTTTGAGATCGAGGATCCCGAGACGAGGCGATCTCCTGGTTTCATGCGTGCAGCGAGGGATGGATTTGTATGTATCAAAATTTGAAAGATATATGTGTATATGAGGAGTACATACAAAAGAAGTAACTTTTTTCATTATAAAAAAATACAATTTTCGAAAATTAAATTAAAAATATAATTTCGAAAAGACATCTTGATTTAATAACAGTATGATATAATAAAATATTCTACTCGATCTCCCGCATAGAGAGATATTCTAATCGTTCATTTATTTACATGGATGTATATATATAGTGACGCAAAATGACATTTCGATGATTTCATATATTGCACACATATAGAAATAAAATGTATATTAAATATTGGTTTATGTGTGTGTGTATTATAGGGTTCATCTTCACAATGTATCTCTTACACATTTCTGTTTCCACCAGAGAGAAAGAGATAGATAGATAGATACAAAGAGAGAGAGAGAGAGAGAGAGAGAAGGGACGACAAAAGAGAGATATCTCCATCGCTCGACCCTGCCTTCGGCCTTTTTCGGCTCGCGCTCGCACTCGCATGCTGGCCAGATTGCAGCTGTTCGAAGAAAGTTCCTTACGCAGTGTAAAACACAAGAACGCGTTCTTTGTTCGGGAAAAGGAAAACGGCTCCCACGCGTGAACCGTATACGGGGTATGTATCGGAGTACATACCGTAAATATCCATCATCGTATTCTTTTTTCTTACCTGGCGAAATTATCCGCCCATCGTAGCCACAGCCTTCGTCCGACTTGAGACGAATGCAAAGAGATGAAATAGTCAGCGGCAGATGTTCGTTCTCGTCTTAAACAGCTGCCGCGATATTGCACAATATATATATATATACTTGTCATCGATGATATTCGGGTAATAATGGCTATTCCGCATTTTTATAGCTATTATTCTCTATCAATAATCGATAAGTCGTACTTAACATATTTAAAAATATTTATAGAGAATTAATATACATGCACATTTTGTTAGCGATAAAATTATTATTAGTAGCACATTATCCGAGCAGATAACAAATCAGATTTTACTCTGAGATCTGGATTTAGTTTCGTCTCGTTTACAAAATAATATTTGCTTGAATATGTTTTTGTATATTTTTTATGCATTAGTTTTTATAAACAATATTTTATAAAAGTAATTCTAATAATAATACCACGTATTACAAAAAATATATAAAAAAAAACATGTAAAGAACATTATTGCATGGCAAAACAAGTGCGTAGTAATATCTCAATATATAAGAATTGTCTTATACGAGTAAATACAGTTTAAATACCAAATACAATGAATTTTTCGACAGGTATTTGGTGCACGTCGTGCATATTCGAGAAACAATCGACGGAGAGTTCAAGATGTAGTCTCGAAATACATATTCGGAATAAATTGACTGTTAGAGAAACGAAGGGACGGGAAAGAAAAATAATTTTTGTTTGTTTTTATTTTTTTTTTTTTGCGTCTTTCAATCTCTTGAAAGATTTCAGATATCATATCTCGCGCGTGTTTGTAACGCTCGAAATACGGGAAAAAAAAAAAATTTTTTTTTTTTTTTTTTTTTTTTTTTTTTTTTTTTTAATCTCGCCAGAATTTACGTGAAAGCGTGAATTTTCGAAATATACACACACGACGAGCGGCCGGTAGCAGCGTTAGTAGGAGCAGATGACGGTATCGCGAGCATTGTGAGCGGATCGGAACCAATGGGCGCACCCGTTACACGACCGGCAGTGGACGGACCGTTTTGTAAGCCGCGAGCGGATTGGTCGCCTTGCCGTGCTCCACCACCGGCTACCATAACGAACCTGAGGAGCGTGGAGCGTGTGGAATGATCGCAGTTTGAATGAGTGCGGTCGCGAGCGCGTGGTGAGATTCTGACAACGTGGTGAACCATTTTTATTTTTTCTTTCTCTTTTTTTTTTTTTTCGTCTTGCGACAACCGCGGGGGGATTTTTTACGGTTAACGTTGCACCGCGCGAGACTTTTTACCCCTTCATCCGCGTGTGCGCGATTTCGCGATGATTCCGCGCGTCGCGATGAAGGCCATGCAGAAGCTGCACTACGAGGCGTGCGACATGCAGAACGAGGAGCTGAGCTGGAGCTGTCGCGTTGACAATAACTCCGACTGCGATATCGGCAACTCTTCCGCGGACGACTTTGGCACGCCGCCTCCGCTGCAGCCGCGGAAGCTCTTCGAGACGATGGATTGCATCGATGAGAGTCAGTCGACCAATAATAACAGGATTTCTCCTTCAAAAGGTTAGAATCGTTCCCCTTTATGCTACTTCCTTAGCGTCCCTATTCTCCACCTCGGATGTTATGCTTGTGCATTGTTGTCTGATATTTGTTTACGAATTAAATTTCTATGCGTCTTGTGTGAGTTACATTTTCTGTAATTTTAAGATTGAAAATTGCAAATTTTTCCATTCAACTTACATTTCCTATTTTAATAAAGAAAAAGAAAATAAAGAGATATCCAAACAAATGAGCTAAACATTTATACTTTCAATTTACTTCACTTCAAAAACATAAATTTGATTTTATTATCTACAACAAGGATTTTTTTCTTTGTATCGATTATACAACAAATATTGCTTTTTGAAATAGTTTTATTGTTTTAAATATGGATCGACTGTGTTGTAGTGTAGTTTATATGCATTTTGTTGTTGATGAAGGAATTTTATTTAATCATAATTTTAGATAATTTAATATTTTATTCTCTTGCATATTTCTTATTTTATATATCTGTTTTTGCACACCTTCCATTATTGATATTTCAAATACATTTGTAGTACTTGTTGAAACATATATTTGTATAATAATATATGATAGGATTACATTGTGTTCTATTGTGTTTGCAATATTTCTTAGAATCTATGCAAAATATAAACATTTTGTATTGATATCTATATGTACTGATAAGTTTCAATGAACTTATATTGTTGTAATGTTTTCTGCGAATTAGATCTATCTTTTTGTCGCATTTATTTTTAATATAAATGACACAATTCAAGAAAAGTTACAATCAATTCATTATGCTTGTTGGAATTTACTTACCAATACATGATCTTTATATACATCAATATAAGATGTTTATATTTTGCGTAGATTCTGAAGAACATTGCATATATAAAGATGTCATAACATGTAATGCATGGTGTAAAATAATTGATATCAGTATATTTAGACAATTTTTTTGCATCATACATCGTTATTTTTTATAAGACAATTTTATTAAAAAAATTTATAAGCTTCCCTTTGTTCATAATCAAATTACGTTCATAAATTATATTACATTATCACAATTATTTTTTAAATTAGGACTGTAACATCAGTAACTATAAAGCCTCTATGTACTGGTGATTACACAATTATAAATATATAATGTTTTTTTGTTTAAAAAATTTATATATATATTTATATTGATATTTACATATTAATTTTAATATAGCTAACATATATATATAACAAAGATTTTCATTAATCATATTTAAATAATTATGGCTTTTTAAAAAAGGAGACAAGCAATTGATATCTATACATATCTGAATTTTGTTAAACATAATTTTTGATATTCTATGTTGAACATCTGCATATCTTAATTTCTTAGAATATAAATATAATGTACCTACATGTATATTATATTTTGTTATTGAATATATATAATATACTTCTTATCTAACAAGCAAGTTAGTTATTGCGTTGCAAATTACATACATACACACACATACAGAATAAATAATGTAAGCCATGTTATGAAAATATAATTGTATAGTCTATATACTTTTAAATAGCTATTTTGATTCATTAAATTTTAAATTTATTTTATAGAATGTTATGTTCTACTCGAAAATTATCTTTCAAGCATGTTATTTTTTTTTCTTCATTGCTTCTTCTAACCATCTATAAAATGATTGCTTATAAGAAAATTATTCCCAATTTTTATTCAGTTGTATATGAAACATTTTCATGACTTTGAAGACTTATGCTAGATAAATGTTTGATTATAGGTACTCCAGCCATCAAGATTCCTGTCATCAGTCATAAAGATGATAATTCTGAGAAGACGTGTAGTCCACCTTACAAATGTGTTAGGGCCTTACGTTTATTTGATTCACCTACTACTCCTAAAACTATGATAGAGAAGAATATAGTAATGCAGACTCCGTTTCCATCTAAATGCACCAGACTTTTTTTCCTAGACAAACCTAGACCTTCTAAAATAAGTCCCAGTTACCAAAATAAGTCCGACAAACCTGTGGCAAATGTAAATCCATTTACACCTACTGGCATGTTAATAACAGCGAAGAAAAGAAGCAGATCCAAACGTAGTCTCAATGGGTAAGTATTGTGAATGTATATTTCGTTTTATTTTTAAATTCTAATGTTATATAATTTCTAATAAAATATATAAAGAATATTAACTGGGAATATAATAATCTAGATTACAAAATGTCTATATTATTAAGCAGAGATTAAAGCTTGTATCAGATTACACATTGGCTAATGAAGATCGAAGATTAAAGATTAGAATTTGACTAATTAGAACGAAAGGAATTAAAATTTCTTTGTCCTGATTGGTCAAATTTCAAGTTTTAATCTTCAATCTCGATCTTCAATGTGTAATCTGATATGGGTTTTAGAGGACTATTTAAAGAAATTTTTTTGACTTTGTTATATAATAATTATTTATTTATTTCTCTATATAATCTGTATTTCTTTATTAATCTTTATGTCTAACAACAAGGCAAAATTAAAAGAATCCAATTATAAGAGTTTGCGTTTACTATTCACAGAAACGAATATTTCCACCATATTATATATGATTATGCATCTATGAAGATAAAATTTGAGATTTAAAAGTGAAAATTATTTAAAACTTGAAAATTTTAAAACATATAAGTCTATTATAACTTGTTATAAAGAAAAATCAATTTCGAATTCGTTGAAATATCTCAAATAAATGAAAGCATAATAGCGCGTATATACATCACTTCTCTTTTTCTTTTTAAATAGTAGTAGTGGTAGCTCACCGGACATGCAAAAACCAAAGTTTGATCTCGCCGATTCTGAGGATTCGGACAACGAATACGAACACGCGACAAAACGCGTGGCGCTACAAGATTCAAATATATCGCGATACCACAAAGAATTCCACGAACTCGATTTGATCGGGAGCGGCTCGTTCGGCTCCGTATACAAGTGCATCAATCGGCTGGACGGGTGTACATATGCTGTCAAGAGGAGCCGGAAGCCGATCGCGGGTATCGTCAGTGAATCCAACGCACTAAATGAAGTATATGCCCACGCCGTGCTCGGCAAGCATCAACACGTAGTCCGCTACTATTCCGCTTGGGCGGAGGACAGTCATATGATCATCCAGAACGAATACTGCAACGGCGGCAGTCTCGCGGACGCGATCACCAATCTTCAGAAAGAGAAAAAGCAGTTTAGCAAAGCGGAGATGCGTCAGCTGCTGCTACATGTGGCCGAAGGGCTAAAATACATACACAGTATGCAACTGGTGCATATGGATATCAAACCCGCGAATATATTCATCTCCAGGGAGGGAAAATTACCATCGAGCAATTATGATTCCACCGACGACGGTTTCGAGGAGGACGAAACTGTCGACGAGATCACATACAAGATTGGTGACCTCGGCCATGTCACTTCCATCAATAATCCGCATGTGGAGGAGGGCGATTGCAGATACCTGCCGTTGGAGGTCCTACAAGATGAATATAGCCATCTACCAAAGGCCGACATCTTCGCTTTAGGATTGACTGTTTATGAAGCGGGTGGCGCGGGACCCATGCCGAAGAACGGGCTTGAATGGCATAGATTGCGAGAAGGAAATGTACCAGATTTACCGCATTACGGTCGCGATCTCAACAGCTTATTGAAGGTACAAATTTATTTCTAAAGTTTTATAGATTTAACAAAGAATATAATTGTATTTTTTTAAATCTGTTTTATTGCTGATTGTTGTTTTGCGTTATTTGCAGCTGATGACTCACCCCGATCCGCAGATGAGACCATCGGCAACTTGTTTGACACAGCACAGGGTTTTACTTCCGCTCGGGAATAAAACTAAAGCGCAATTGCGGAGGGAATTAAGTTTGGAGAAATTAAAAAATGAGATTTTAACTAAGCGATTAAAGGATGCGGCGATATTTCTGAAGAATATCGCGCCGAATGTCACTGATAATATCGACAAACAATTGCGATCGGTCACTATGCGACCTCGTGTCATAGGCAAAAAGATCAATCGTAGTAACAGCATTATATAGTGCTGTTATATTGTATAGTGCTATAACGGACAACACTTGTATATAGCAGAAGAGTATCAATGCGTAGGGCTTTTATGTTGTTCAAGTGGTAAAAAAATTTCGCATGTAAAAAGCGAAAAGTCCCGGCTTTGATTTTCGGTTCATCGTTATCGTACACTTGATACTTTTCTTCTCGCTCATACAATAATATTAAACAAACGTCTATGATACCATCGTATATAGCTGTAGGTCGCAATCACCAGTGACATTCGAAAATGTCGCGTTGTCTAACCGTTTAGTTATAATCATGTTCATTACTGCGATAGTTCCATTAGATTTCCCTCATGGATGTCGCAGAAACGATATAAACTACAGTCTTCTTCTTGAAATTGTAGTCGGCTGAATTTTAATTGATCGAAAGCAACTTTTTCTTTGAATATAAAAATGGTTTTATATTTTACAGATATATGGTGCATCAATTGTACTGTCAGCATGTACTTTCAGTATTCAGCATGTTTCAAAATTATATTTAATCTCATTTTGCATGTGCTCAGAGAAAAGAGAAGAAAAAGCGCCATTGGTTAAAACTTATTCTGAAAAATAAAAAAAAAGCAATAATATCGACAAAAAGAGAGCGGGAGGGAGGGAGAAACATATTGCCTGCCTATCGATATTATTGATTTTTTGTCTTGTATTGCCAAAAAATCTATCTATTCTTTATCTTTTTAAGACGTAACTTAAGCATATCTATAGCGCGAAATCTCAGGTTGACAAATATATTTTTCTATTATAACGTAACATTTTATATAATATGATGTTTATTACTTAATAGTTAATTATCAATGCCTTTTATTATCATCATTTGTAAATGATCTTGCATTATGACATTATTCAAACTATTATATTCTGATTGTATAAAATTTATAACATACAGAAAAAACTATTTCTACATTAATGCGATTCATAGTTTTCTATTACAAACAGAGACAATTAATTATAAAAAGTTATGTAAAACATATTAAGACTATTATTTGCTACTGTGCCGTTATACTTATGCTATAATAAAAAATTAATGTTCATTACTTTTATCAACATTTCAAACGATATACAATAATTAACTATTTTTACTGATTGCGACTGCAAAATGATTTTATCAAATAATTTTGCTTTTATTTAATATTTGATGCCAAAAAGGTATTATCTCTAATTCTGCTAATAATTGAGTAGAATAATAATTGGTTTATATAAGGTCACAAGCGTGACATTTGATACTCTCTAGTATGACATTTCCATTAATAACAAAAAAATATAAAATTAGAAGCTTAAATTTTACTTTAATATCATTTTATCATAGGCTTATTATCTTCCACAACATATACTCTCAAAAATTTGTATTTCTGGTCATATATTATACATTTTTAGAATAATCATTGATGTGTGTGTGTGTGTGTGTGTGTACACATACATCTATACACACGTACATTTAACAATCTATGTTTGTTTCTTAATAATCTATGTTTGTCTAGTGTTATTAGCAGATAGGTGCTATAGTTATTACAAATAACAAAACAAAAAGATAAAATAAAAAAAATTTGGTTTTTTTTAGTTTTCAACTGATACTTGTCACAAAATTTTTACAAGGTTTTTGAAATTTGCTGTGGCACACACATACAAATATTATTTACGTATAAGTTATATTTTTCTAATTATGAATGGAAAATTAATCGTTTTTCTACATTATATTTTTTACATGTCATATTTTGCGCATTTAACTCTTTCATTAAAGTCTTTATTTTTGTAATGAGGACAATCACAAATAATAGATATAACAAATGTTTATGTTGCTCGAGTGATACAAACTCATTTTGCAGAATTTCACAATTTCCCAAAGAAAATGTTACCCTTACAGTTTATTACAGATTGATTTGTAAACATTATTGTAAACCTTACTTTGTCATTTGCTAAGTTGTGCTAAGATGTGCTGAAATGTCATTTCTTCCAATTTCTTTGGTATTAACAAGAAGAAATGCGACTTATCGACTATTTCTGTCTCTTTTGCGAGCGAAAACGATTGATCTTACAATTATATTATATATAATTAACTATATGGGAGACAATATCTTTTTAAGAATGGGTCCTTAAATCGGATATTTGTTAAGCATAATCGTCATTGCTAAGCACTGTAGATCAATACATAAGTTTTTGCTTTTTAATTGTAAAATTATAATAAGGTAATAGTTTTCGCATCAATGTATCTTTTTCTTTCATATTCTTTATATGGATATTAATCGAAAATAAGCGTTTATTACATTTTAAAATGTTCTTATAAAATGATACAAATTAATAATATGATGAATATCGAATCAGTTAATTTAACAGTTTGATTAATCAAATTAATTGATAAGATAACACAAGTTAACTTATATTGAAATTTGTATTATTTTATACTTTATTATTTGTATTGGTATATTCTTACTGTAATATTTTGTATAATTCTTACTGTAAATTTATGTGAATTGTTTTATGCTCGCAAAAGATTTAAAAAAAAAGAAACCGATAAGTCGCGTAATCGTAAACTCGCTTTATAAAATCTTGTGATTTTTACTGATTCTACTGAGCATAACATGCGAATCAATTTGTGTTTTATACATTACTGATTATAATGAATAGATCTGACGTCCACATATTTTTGTATGAGATATCTCCCATTAGTTTGTAATACATTTTTCTTTCTTTTTTTGACGTGATGACAAGATTCGCTGAATCTTGCGCTCATTTATCGCGCGCGCGCGCGCGCGAGTGTGATTAACACATGTGAGAAGAAACTTTGTGAGAGTAATCACATTTAGACATTCATAGTCTAGTTTTGTGTCTAATTTTATAAGCCGCTATTACAATTATTTAAAATAGTTATGTATAGCGTGTTATGTAAATTATGTATAGCATTATGTAAGTTATATATAGCATTATGTCACTTATGTATAACATTATGTAAGCATATGTGAATATCTTTCTAAACAAGAGGAAGCAAGTGCCGAAATAGATACGTGTCAGCAATAGGGTGGACCTTAAACTATAGATATATGCTCGTTTACCATGCTTAAACGTAAATTGTTTGAAACATTTAATATCATTAATTATTAATTATATTATTTATATTATTATTTCTTTGGTCTTTTTGTGCCTGTCAGGTTCACCCTGTGACCTCTGATCCCACAGGATGGGCATGCGTATAATACCTTTATAATTCTTATTATTGTTATTATTATTATGATAATAAACAGGCTGTTATACTTTCCACTCTTAAAATTTCTATCATATAATCACAAACCAAGGATGATACTTTGTGCTTTCAGGTAATCTAAATAGTTATTTGGATAGTTTCAAAAAGCATTGGTAAAAGTGCTATCTCGTATACAAATTAATGGAGTTAATTTGTAGAAATTTATATAAATGTGTACAAGGCTTAGGGTGATTCATTTAATTTCAATAATATTACATTAGCATACCCTGACTTTTGAAAATAATTGTTAATGTTGTATGGTTTGGATTTTTTCGCTTGTCGTTGAATTTTTTCATATTCTTTCTCTTTATTTATCTTTGAACTTGAGATGTTATTTTAAAATTAATGAAAAAAAAAAAAAACATATTTTAAAGCTGCATACATCTGATATGAATTTAGGTGTATATTCTATTATAAAACAAGGAAAAAAATCTATTATTAAGAAATTCTTTTACAAAATATATTTTGTAATAACATGTACGATCGTGGAAAAGGATTCAGAATAAACTCTTTCCAGTAAGACAAATATTTTACATATGTATATCGCTTATAAGATATCATATAATAAAATATATAAATTCTGATTGAGAGAGTTCTTTTCTCTCTTAGGAAATCTATAAAAAATATCTTTTTATCTATAAAAATTTATAGATACACTGTAAAAGATGCATTTTGTAAGGCATAGCCTTTATCCTTCCCCCCCAATACGGTGTTACGCATAATAACTATCTTTGTTAAACGTGTGTTGATTATGGAACATATGCTATAATTCCAGAAACATCTATTATACATGTTCGGTTATCAAGTCCTAAACGCGCCTGACAACAATAAATGATATTTATTGACTTTATATTGATTTTGATTATAACCAATAATAATCATAAATCCCTTACAATATAATCAAATTTTTGCAAAGTTAATTACAAATTGATAAAAGAATTTTTTTCTTAAATTAATTCTGCGAAAAATAAAATAAAGAGAGCTAAAGGATATTTATTTTTTACATACAATTAAATTTAATATATATGTAATAATGTTTGAAATTAGATAATAATAAACGTTTTTCTATTAATTAATCGCGTTAAAAAGCTAATATTATTTTTCAAAATTTTGTGCCAATTGTATGATTGGTCGAAACAGATGTTATCCATGTTATTCACGAATATGTACCTATGATGTAAATATAAAGGTGTATCAGTCCCTACGCAATCGTACAAAAAAATGAGAAATGCCCAGAAATGTTAGAATCTAATATAGCTATGGCTGTTGACAGTTGACAAGTTGCTGAATTTCGCGACTGCATTGGTGGGCGTTTCTTATTGGCTTAGTTATTGTTTTACGTCACTACGCGTGATGTCATCGTGCGCAATGGTACACCTTTATATTTACATCATTGTACCCATGGAAATATTTCATTGATAGAAAAGATTGTGGCTCGTAATAGACGATATTGTTTGGTGTAGTTGATTAAACGTGGCAGAAAAATGACAAAGCTTTAATTCTCTTGTGCGAATCGTGTAATACACACAATCAACTAATAATACTCTTCAACGTCGTAAATAATTTTCTGCATGTTATTGAATTTATATATGAAAATTCTTTTATAGAGAGAATAAAATCAAGTGTTTGTTTCTCGCATAGATTTACGATAGTGCCTGTCACGATATCTTCTATTCCATTTTGTCGTATAGATAGTAATACATGATATAGCACATATATGGGTAGGGAGATGCACGTGTAACAAAATGACATATAATAGTTATTAAATAAATAATAATTTTGTACATAAAAAGAGCTCTCTTATTTGATCAGCACCATTTCAATTCCTTAAATGTATTGCAGAAAGTACTCCTTATTTTACAAATATTTATATAATATTTCTCTTTATATTTGTTTATTACTTGCAGATATTTGCATAATGTTTTCGCATAGCACAATGAGATGATAGAGATGTGATAGATAGTTGCATAAAGTTGCACAAAAGTTAACGCTTTTGCTCCTGGACTTTATAATTTTCATAAACATTTTTTTATTCAAAATTATTATTTATCATTTTTTTCACAGTATATATTAGTTTTCCTTTCTAGAATAAAATTTAAATAATTCAATATATATTTCTCAAAATTGTAAAAGTTTATACTGAAATTATTTCTAGTCATCGCTAGCAATTTAATTTAATTTTAGAACACATTTAAGCATATAAGTTTTTTTATGATGAAATTTTTAGTTCAGATTTTTCATATAACAATATTTTATACGTTTTGCTTCCAAAGATTTAGCTTTCACGCATGTTTTTTTAGGTAAGATTATCAATAATAATAACTATAAACTTTTAAATATATGTACATTTTATAGGAGCAAATAATTTCTTTATGCTACAAAATGCTGTATAACAAAAAATTATATGCATTTTTTTTTATTCAGGTATATCTCGAAATATTTAAAAATGTGTATAAAATCCACTCATATTAATCTACAACCGAGAAAGAAAACTAATCTTCTCTATCGATATGGATATGTCCTATTAATGCTCGCATGCATGATATTTGCATCTATTCAACCACATATTGGTGGAACAAATGGTAATTAATTCTCCAAGACAATATAATAAAGAAAAAGAAACATGTATGTATGTATACACATTCAGAGAGAAAGAGCATTCATACAATATTTTTACTTATATCAAAGAGTAACAGTATTTATTAATATTATAATATTGCATTTTTTATTACAGGTATAATCAATGGTAATTTTATCATTCACTATTTTGCTGTGCCTTTAACATATTTAGAAGCTGGATTATTATGCAATCCTAAATCTCTTTATTCAACATTAAGGGATGGCTATCTTCTGACATTTGTCATGACTTTCATATACATTTTGATGCCCTTTTTAGCACGCATTGGGACATATCTGTTGACCTATGCAAAAGTTAATGTATGGTTACTCAAAGGAATGGAGGTGATTAGGAACATATTTGTAACTTATTAATTAATTCTTGTCAATACAATGTGTGCGCGCGCGTATGTGTATGGTGTGTGGACTGAATAGATATTATTACCGAATTTATGACTATGTATGATACACAAATATATTATAGCTGCAAATTTTATATAATTATTGTTATCTCTTTCAGGTGCTTTACTGCATGCCACCACCATTCAGTACAGGACTTGCTTTATGTCGTTTGGCACAAGCTGATTTGCCTACAAGTGTAATTACTACATTGGTATCACATTTTGGAGGATTATTTTTATCTCCTATTTTACTATATCTTATGGTAAATACTCTTATACATAGAGAGATGATATTTCTTAAGTATTTTTAAATATTTTTTTCTCAGAATATACTATATTCAATATTTTATGTTATCATTTATATTCACTTGGTTTCGTATTTATATTTTGTCTTAGCTTAGTATACTATTTCAAGTTAAATTAACAAATTTACTTTTTAAATAGCTATTCTAAAAAGTTATATAATTTTTCAATAACAGTTAGGAATGTTTACTCCACCACTGGTTGGGATCAACTTTAAGGAGACTATATACAGCACACTTATTCCATTGGGCATGGGTATCATGCTACGATCATTTATTTTGAAAGACAAATATTTGAATATTAACACAGGGTGGTTTTCCCAAGGGTTATTGTTGACAATAGCGTACCACTGGTTTTGCGATGCTGTTTTAGCAGATGCTTCATCATTACAAGCAGTAGATATACTGTTCTGTGTACTTATAAGTAAGTTATATTTACTTTGTATTTAATTTGTATATTTAAGAATAGATTCCTCGTCCTATATATTCAGCTGTATACGTCTTTTGAAGCGTGCGTGGGTCAGCTCCTTCTTAGCAGTTTATGTTGGATCTTGTGCTCTCAATGGTTGCCGCGGAATATTTTGTTAGCCGCGCTATTCACCAGCACTCACAAATCAGTTGGTCTTGGCGGCTGGATTTTACGAGGAGCGTACCATGGTTCAGTTCATGGACCAGCAGTGAATTTACCATTAACGATATTACCTGTTGCACAATTATTGTTAGGTAGTTTGTTAGCCAGTTGGTTAGCTCCGTAAGAAAAAAATCTGATGTGATATTATTTTGCATCCATATCTCAATTTACAGAGATATTGGTTTATCTTCCAAGCTAGTCTTATATGTACTAGGATATTTTATATCCTAAAAATGATGTATAGAACGGCTCCTAAAAATTATTGCAAATAAATTTTAGAAATAATATATTTAAATAGATTGAGACTATATATATTATAATATATACATATATGAAAAAAGTTTACATTGTAAATAATCCTGGAAAAAAATATAAAAAAATAAATTGCATAAATATTAAATTGATTATCAATACATAAATCATTAATGAATTATTTGGAATAATTGTATTTTAGAACGAGCAATTTTTATTGAATATGAATATTT